TTATCTTTTCATTGACGAGCTCATAAATATTTTAAGATTCTTATTATTTGATTCGGAACTTATTCTATCCCCTAAGCTAAGTTTATAATATGAATTGAATCATCTTATACGGTTTTCTACCGTTTAGTTTACTTAACACGTTGTCCTTAGCTTTGATGGGATTCCTATTGCCAATAACGAGACGGGTGATTGAGACAAGCGTTCTCATGGCATGTAGAGAGAAAGAGAGTTTTCCCATCCCATCTCATTGCCTTCCCCATCCTCTTCTTATGCACAAGTGTAAAGATTTTGTGCTATTTTAAACTTTAACTCCAATTTTAAAAACAAATTCGCTCTTATATCTCATGAATTGGAAATTTTAATTGCTGCAAATAACACAATGCTAAATTTCATTGATTACTTGTCAAGGAAGAATAGCCTTACAATCATGATGAAAGATGCTATAGGAATTTTTCATCAAGTGAGGTTGAAGTATAGTTATAAGTTTGTGGCAATTAAGATTTTGGTTCCTAAAAAGGAATTTGCCCAAAAACATTGTCATCTTGTGAAGATACCTTTCTTCAATGGCTTTTGCGAATTCCTAAGCTCTGGACAAGTTGTTGTTACGGTTAAAAAGGTTCAATTTATATCATCGCTTTCTAACTTGACGTGTTACTGTGTCAATGGTTGGACTAATGCGCCAACAAGTATAAGTTAAAAATAATTTTTTTATTTTAAATTGAAAATGATGTATTAAAATAACTGATAATTTAAAAATTAATTTAGTGGAAGAAAATATTATGATTATAGGAAAGCCTATTATTCATGTTTTTTTAATTATTAACATGTTTCATTATTGCATTGTTTTGTGATTATGCTGCAAATTATTATTAATAAGTCCAATTTCATGTTCTATATCTTGCAAGGTTAGGTTATATTAATAGCCAAGTTCTATTGAGTCTACTATTTCTGGTTGTAACGGTACAACATATTTCTTACTTACGGAGTACCATTATATTGGTATATTCATGGTCTCTTTTGCAATTCTCATTTTTTTTATTAGGCTCTGTGGAAGGTTTTAGCACAAAGAGGGAGCATTGCACCTATGATAAGTAAAAACTATGCAAGCCGCTCTTGCAACCGCTTCTTAGCACCATATATTTTTTGCTTGGTGCCGTCACCTTCCTGGTTTTCTTTGGATGAAAATTGCTATATATGCAATGCAAGAACTACATTGGAAGCGAGAAAATGTGTCAGGAAATGGGTTTTCAGATCTGGTGCAGTCATGGGTTTTCTCTTGCTACAAATGGCCTTTTGGTGCTGTACATTACCATCAATCTCGTCAAGCTATATTATGGTGGCCACTAGGAAGGCCTCTATCTCTTCGAGGCGATAACTGGCTATGGTCTCGGTGGATCTTCCATGGCATTTTTTGGGAGAGTATGGGGGTTGTTTGCACTAAGGCTGCTAGGAAGGCCTCTTGCTCTACGAGGCAATAACTAGCTATGGTCTCGATGGATCTTCCATGGCTCTTTTTGGGAGAGTAGGAGGAGGTGTTACACCAAGGTCGCTGATGTTGGTGCTAATCTTGTTAGGAAGAATGAAAGCAAAATTCGATAAGATGACGCTAGGAATCCAGTTGTAAGATATAATGCTTCCCTGATGTCACATCCTTTGACATGAGAATGAGTTGTAAATGATTTAAATTTGTGTGTTGCACGTGATTGCTGACAACATCAATGATAATGTTGGGAATATTGATGGAATGGGGTCTACTCGTTTCGGTTGATATGCAGAACCATCATGTACTATTCTTGCGGTGGCTTCCATCTCCTCTTTGAGATTGACTCATGAATCCACTGCAATGTGTTATCTACTGCTTATTAGTTCCATTAGAATCCTTGTTTGCTTAATCACCACCCGTTTTTGCTATTGACATTTTTGAAATCAAGGCTGTTAAGGAAATTGAACCAGGATTGAAAAACCATCTTATTATCTCCACTGTTCTTATGACTATGGGCGTAGCAATTGTTACCTGGCCTCGTGCTTATTCTTCACAGTTTTCATGTGGTGATCAAAAGGTTATGAAGAACTGGTAAGCTTTGATTTAGACTCTAAATTTATACTAGATATAAGTGATGGAGAGTATTTTATGCATCTAATGCCTTAAATTAACAATTGTGTCTTACTATTTCATTTCAAAACATTAACCTTTTTACTTTCAGAACTTTTGTTTAATCATAAACATTAACTAGATGATTAGTAATATAATTATTTATTAATATTCAATCTATAAATTCTCCTACTCTTTTTTTTTTTTTTTGCCACAAGTCCAAATTTTATACCTTGATTCATGCTATTTTTATTCAATCATTCGAATTATTTTTGTTGGAATATTTGAAATGAAATGATGACATTTGCAAAAGAAGTATAATAAACATGGATGATATTCAAGAAAATCAAATTTCCTCTCATTATCTAAAATGCAAAACTCTAACATGTACATCTACAAATCATCTTATCTATCGTAAATCTTTAATATTAAACATGTTAACATTACGTTCAGAGTAATGCAACCCGTAGATTGAAAGGGCAAGGACTAGTATATACAGAAGTGTGTACATACGGAACTGTACGGCCTTGGAAGAATTGAATGGGATGGCTTTTTTGTTGTTTAGTCTTTGAATGTTTGGTAGTGTTTTTGAATACATAAGTATTGAACATGATGACTTGGTGCTTAGTGTTTGAATGAGTGGTGGCATAGACTGCATGTTTAAATATTTGGTAATATTTTTAAGTGCTTGTAAGTATTGAATGGGATGACTTGATTGGTCTTTAGTTTTTGAAAGGGTGGTGGCATGAATGGTCCATTTAAATGCTTGATAGTAATTTTAAGTGCTTATAAGAATTGAATGGGACTACTTGATTGGTGTTTAGTCTTTGAGAGGGTGGTGGCATGGATGGTCTAATTAAATGTTTGGTAGTAATTTTAAGTGCTTATAAGTGATTTGGTTGGTGTTTAGTCTTTGAACGAGTGGTGGCATGGATGGTCCATTTAAATTTTTTGTAGTGTTTTTAACTGCTTATACGTTGTGTGTCTAATGAAATGTATGAATAATTAGTTGTGGATTATGTGAAATGCGCAAGTAAAAATTGTTTGATGAAAAAATAAAGTTACAAGTAGTTGGTAAGAATTATGCATATGACAAGACAATAAGAAAAGTGAATAAGATACTCTATCGATTTATCGGTGATACGCAAGTTGGAAAAAGTCTGGTTTACTTGGCACTATAAATAGAGACTCAAGTTGAAAAGTCGTCTTCACTAAATTCTATCTACAACTCAATAATATTGTTTGTATCTTTTATTGTCTAAAATAAAAACAAGTCACATCATAATTTTCGTAGTAAATATACCTTGTTGATATGGATTAAAATCAGATTTTTATTAGGTTTTGATAAAAGTTGATGAAATATGTGGTTGAAAAGCTGTGGGTATATGTGGTTGAAATAAATTATTTACTTTGACTTAGATTGAAATCTTAATTTTAATTTCTATTAAACATGAGTGTAGATATGGTATCATAAAATCATCCTCGTGGCATGAAGAAACTTATATGCCAAACAACAATGCTACATGTACACTTTAGTTTACACTTTGATTTATACTATATCATGTGGCATGATCTACACATCTATTTTAGACACGTTAACCAATAATACTGTTTGTGTCAGTGCCGAATTCAGGATTTAAGTTCAGCTAGGGCGGACCTTGACCGTTGACCGTCGACAATCAATAATCGTAATTGCGATGACGTTTATTAATATTTAATTAAATAATATTAAAAACTATTCAATATATATGTAAATGCATTATAACTCATAACTCAATGACTCATTCAACATAAACTATTTATCCTAAATCACAGATTCACAAATTTCAATTTTTATTTGAATACCGAATTGCCAATTAACTCATAGAACAAAGCCCAAAAAAATCTTTAAAAGAACAATGAAGGAGACTCGCTGACACTAATGTCTGCAGCTCACGAGTCATTGCCATAGGAGGTCCGTTCGAGTTCAAACTTCCGACCGTCCGGTCCGGAGTCTGTTGGCGACACGGCAAAATTGCAGCAAGAGGTGGATGAGGGTTTCTGCTCACAAGAGTCCCAGCTAAGCTCACTACAATGCGGTCTACGTGCGTTGCATATGTTTTCTTCTCATCTTTGCCCATCACGGTATATATCATATGGATAATTGATCAATTGAATTTGGATTGGGCCTGGTTATTTAAAAAAAAGCCCACATCAGCACAGCCACAGGCCCCAAAGCCCAAACTTTAAAAAAAAAAAAAGAAAGAAAGAAACCTCTGTCGCCAATCCAGTCGTCTTCTTCCTCTTCCTTCCGCGGTTCCGATGGAGCCTAGCACACTCGACCGCACCCCCTCGTCGGGTGCTGGGTCCGCCACTGATTAGTGTCTTCTATTTTGTTTAAACAAAATAAAGTCACATCTAAATTTTTATAGTAAATATAAAAATTCACAGGAAATTACGAAGTTAATTAATTAGATTGTTCAAACGAAATCAAGATTCCTAAAATTTTAATCAATCAACTTTCATCAAAATTATCTGTGTTTTAATTTCTTTTGTCATATTTTGTTAAATAAAATAAGTGCATAATATTATATCTGATTACTTTAGAACGAACAAGAAAAAAACAAGGAATTAAAACTGTAGAATTATATAAAGAGCTGAAAAGAGAATGAATCTGCAAACTAAGGCATGTGTGAGCACAATTTCCTTTAAACAGATTCGATCGCTCACCGTTGGTGCTTGAAGTTTCGTTAAGCGTCTATCTCTCAAAATACAACGAAAAATCAAGAGTTTAAGCACTTCAAATGTTACTCTGACGAACTAAATATATCAAAACACGATCACCAAGCCTTTGACAGAAAGTGCACGAATTTGCAGGAAGAAGACTGTAAATTTTATGCTGAAAGATGAGAGGATTCCTCTTTTTGGAATGGAAGAAAAATGTCTGCATAAATAGGCTATAATGGAGATTTAACAAGCCAAGAGTTACAAGTGTTATAGCCATTAACCCGATTGTTAATCTCTCCATTTACACAGATATAAACCACATGAATTTCAAAGAATTTGGAAGGTTATTTGGAGACAAATTAATAAAATTATTTAGGAAAAAAAGGCAAAACGTGGTCCTAAGGGGCGAGTTTTTGGTTCAACATTCGTACATGCAGGTCGTGCACACATACAAGTTCAAGGTCCAAAGTGTTATTTTAGTCCTTAATTTGCACTCCCCTATCCATACACGTGGAAAGAGGCTTTATGCTACAAATGATTGCGCTTTCAAAGTGTAGTCTTATATAAAGTGGTCTTTTTTAACTTTTCATGTGGGACAAACTAAAATTAGTTTTTCGTTGAACATATTAACATTTTCCATTTCATCACTTTGAGCTTCAATTTCAATATTCTCAAGAAAGAAAACACAAATCAACCTTGATATTTCAAAATGAACAAACGAATCTCACTCAAAATTATGCCAAAATAGCCCAACAAGCCATTTTTCCAATATATTTTAATTTGTACTCATAAAAAACGATAGATTTGTGTGGTTCTAAATTAAGTTAGCTTCTAGTTTACTTCATAGTGAATATGACAATTCTCTTGAAATTCAACATTTTCATACACTTTCACGATGTAGTACACTTGCAGAATAGTCATATAACGAACGTTCACTCATGGACATTTGGTCATGGATTATTAGCACAAAACGTCTCTACGTTTGGTCTTTAGTGTGCAAAACATCCATACGCTTCAACTTTTTTGCATTTTCACCCATATTTCCACGTTTCAGGCCGAAATCATTATTTTCATCTATTTTTTCAATTAAAAGCTGTGAAATGACAAAAACGCCCTCCTATCTAAATAAAACCAAAAGAAAAAAAAGAAAAAATAAAGAACAAATTAGAATCATAGTCCCAAAATTTCAAAAGATTACAAATGAGTCCCCAATGTATAATTAAAAATCCAACATTTGCCAAAAACTCAGGCCAACCACCACCCAAACCACCAAAACTCCATACCATTGGACAACCATCACTCCCATCTACACATACCACCCAGCCACCAGCTCTAACATTACCAGATTTGGTTGGAATTGATGGCTGAAATCTTTCTCGCACGCACTTACCATCCATGTTCGATCTGTCATATGGAGGCTGAATTGTTGAAGACCCATAGGTGGAATTGCTGCGTTGTGATCAGATGATGCCAGAATGGGTGGTCCGCGATCATGGGTCCCACCTCCGGCGCCAAAAATCGTGACTGAAATTTTCATTTTCGCTTAATTCGAAAAATTGGGCTATAAATTTTGATTGTGTGAATTTTTTGATGTTGCAAGACCATGAATAGGTGCGCCCTGATAAGTATAATCGACTGGTATGATAGAAAAGGCATGGGTCTTGCCGGAGAAGGTGATGT